AACTCAAAATAATAATAAATATAATAAAAACATTTCTGAAGGCAACAAATATAGTGGAAAAAACTTTGTTATCATAGTAATGATAATTATCTCTATAATTGCTTTCCCTTAAACAAYAAGCTACCAGTGCTGTCATTTTTTATTTTTTGTTAAAATGATAAAATATATAACACTTACAAAGTCAAGTACTTTGAGTACAGGCAACTCACAGTCCATTAGTGTTGGCAAAAAAGAGAAATTTATAAAATAATAGAGAAATTTCTAGAAAGTTTCTAAAAGAAATTTCTATTTATGGGATCCCCATGGTTAATTTTGTTTTCTCGATATTTGTTATCTTTAACATTGTTTTTATAAGTAATATTTAAATATTAGTATTAGTATTTTAATTATTAATTAAAGTAAAAAAATTTATTTATTTAATTATATTAAACTATGATACAATAAAATGGTGAATAAAATTTTACAAAACTGATTATTATTAAATAATTATAATTATTTATATAGGTATCACATTTGTATAATATAGTATTATACAGTATTATATATATAATATTATATGTATAGTAGTATTGTCTCATTAATATATTTATAGTTTTACAATATCTATAGATATGGGGATCCCATAGTATAACAAAAAAGTTAAATTTCTATAGAAATTTATTCCTGAGAAACTTTCTAGAAACTTTCTCAGGGAAATTTATTAGAAACTTTCTATTTGCCCATCTCTACAGTCCATACACTTATTCCACAACTACTGTATATAATATATATAATATTATTAATATTATATATATAATATGTATGTATTATATATATGTATGCCTTTACTCTAGGCTGTAAACTGTAGGCTTTATGTATGCATTACTATTATTCAAACTATTGATATTTTTTTCAAAAATGCGGGTATATATTGATAGACTTCACAGCTAATTAAATCAATTTGTTGATGAAAAAATATGTTGTATTAAATAAAGCAAATGTTATGTAAGAAAATATTTTGTTAATATAATTTTATGTGAAACTCATTTTATGTTTAAATTTTCTGAAAAAAATTARTATACAAATAAGTGAAAATAATTTTTATGATTCTCATTTAATATTTTATAAATAATAGATTAATAATTTTATATATTTATACATTAAAAAATCAATTAACTTATGATAAAATAGCAAAAATATTGGTATTTTATTATATTTTTCTCCTCTTTTATTATTGCTASTGATGTGTTGTTTATATCATTGATTTAATTGTTATTGTTGTACATATATTTTATAGCATAATATATACAAAATGTTGTATTATATTAGTGAAAACATGACTTATTTTTGCTTTTATAATGATAAATACAATAACAATGTTAAGAGAATATTCATTAAACTAAATGATTCGGAATACAGTTATTTTATTCACAGTTATTGTAATTGCATTTTTAATAGCGATTCTCGATTCATGAGTTAACAAATTTATATTTGTATGGAATATATATTTAATATATAAATAACAAACATAGGGTTTAATACCAAATGGTTTATACATATACTGTATATTATAAAATCAATGACTTATAACAAAATAAATATTAAATATTAAAATTTATTTCAATAAAGTCTAGTAATATTTTATTTAATAGACGATATTTCTTTAAAAAATAAAATATTAATAAAAAAATTGTCAAAATTCATGCAAAAATTATTATCAATATAAGCGTAAATTATATATAAATACAGAATATATACCGTATGCTATGAATTCATTATTATTATTATTATTATATAAAATATATTAATACTTTTGTATTTATTATATGATGCAAACATTTGATGTGTACTCTTTCCTATACATTACTGTTTATAACTGTTATAAATGGTAATTGATTTTTATGTTCATTATAACGGGTCGTTGTATATCTAATTGTATGGTATGGCAGTCACTCATTACACAATTGGAGTGCACTTTGTTAGCGGATCTGATGGGTTCCGGTGCTCTTATATCCAACTGTTTAGACAACATTGCCATCAATTGCACAATATTTATATAGATTTTGTTTCTAGATTATTGATTTAAGCAATAAACATTTTAACACATTACAAATATATAATAATAATTGTAATAGTAGTAGTAGTAGTAGTAGTAGTAGTAGTAGTAGTAATAGTAGTAGTAATAATAGTAGTAGTAGTAGTAGTAGTAGTAGTAGTAGTAGTAGTAGTAGTAGTAGTAGTAGTATTAGTAGTAGTAATAGTAATAATATTTTTTTTGCATTTTTCACCAAATGTTGACATAAAAATTATATATTTAATATGTTTTTTCTTGCATTTGAATATTTATTAAATAAAAAATTGATATGTGCATTATATGCATTTTTTAACAATTGATTTTTTGATGATATAAATTAGTTTTTTCTTTGCATATCTAATACAAAATATTTCTTGAAAACTAAACGATTTATGTTTGAATTACATATCAAAAAATCAATTATTGATATCCTAACAGTAATGTTTTTTTTATTGCATTCAACTATCATAAATACGTATATATTGATATATATAWATATTTGTAAAAAACAAAATTACAGACAATATATATTTTATAAATAAGATATATATTTACGATATACTAGTAATAAATGAGATAAAATGTCAAAATGGAAAAAACAAATATTTACATTTATATTTTTCATTCATTTTGGTTTTCAATCAGTTATTCAATTCAATTAATGACTTATTTTCTGATATAATAATAAACAATACAAATATCTACTGATAATGCAATTCATTTGTTCAATAATATAATACAAACTCTTTTTTTAGAATATATTAGATATTCATTACTCAAACTGTGTCTTCATTTTTATTTTTTGTATTAGAGATGAGTTGCTGATTGTAYTGACCGTACGTTTTGATTTCGTGTACAAACAAAAATAGGTTAACAATGACAGCCAACAGTCCTAAGGCCACACCAATGAGATACCAGTCCGTCGGGTCAAACCAAAAGTCTTTTTGCAATATTTGCAAAATCAAACATATTATGCTCAAAATAAACGGTATAATCATGAATATGCCGTAATAGGTTAGCTCTTTGGGTTTGGCACGTATTACAATAAATATACCAGGTGAAAATATTATAAAACCTACAAATTTTATTCAAATACAAATTACATTAATTTCAAGTTATATCAATTAAATGCATTTATTTATTATTTTAGTTAATAAAACTATTACTAAATGTATTGTGTAATAAAAACTATTGAGTAAATAATTATATACCACTGTATTATAGTGTATTTTTTAATAAATAATTTATACTAAATTAATTCGTATAGTAATAGTAATAATAATAATAATAATAATAATAGTAAATAAATATTATTTATTAAAAATAATGACTTAGAGAATGATACAGAAAACAATTGTATTATTAATAGTATCTTTTTTATAAAAGATTGTTATGTTGGCAACAATTACTATTATAAATAATAAATATTAAATTAATATGTTGTCTATTAAAAATTAATAATACAAAWTAAATTATTAAAATTATCAAATAGATTGTTATTAATTAATTAAAGTACTTATATGTATTAAAAATATCTATTTAAATATTATAGCTATATGCAAATAATTTAAATTTAAATATATTTTATAGTTAAAAAAAAAATATAATCATTATATACTGTAAAAATGATGTTTTACCAGTTAATCCAGTATACAGTGGAACATCTCTCCAATCCCACGATCCGTTAGTATAGTCTCTTATGGGGTACGGCCACAACCATTTGGTCAGACATAACAGGTATAGTCCACCACACATACCGAAGCTTGTGGTGGTTATCAAGAAATATTTGTGAAATGTTTTACACATTATTTTCTTTAATTTTAATATACACTTCTTTTATACAGAATATTCTTGAAAATTGGCAAATTATTTTCAATTATTATAATATATTAAATATATTGTCATATTATTTAGCATTGATTTATACAAATTAATTATAATTTAGACAATAAATATTTATTGCCAACATTAATATATATATATTGACCAATTAAAAAGATATTATTATCAGCAATAACCATAAAAACATGGATATTATTGTTATTATTATTATTTAAACAAAATACAAGACAATTGTTGAGTTTGCGTACATTTATTTTGTATTGAAATTTATAGTTGACTTTGGTTTTTGTGGTCACGACGTTATCAATACCTATCGATTAGTAAAATAAATATAAAATATAATACTATATATAATTTAATAATAGTTTTAATATTCAGTTTATTTATATATATTTTTTAGTTATTTATATATATAATATTATAGATGTTATTTATAGTACTGTTAACAATTTATAAACATATTGATTTAAAGTTATTATTATAATTTTTATAATCGATGAAATAGTAATAAATAAAATAAATTTACAATTAAAATACAAATAAATATACAATTATCAAAAATAAATATATAGATATATTTAATCTAATTTACTTATAATTTTTATTTGATTTAGTTAATTTAGTTATTTAGTAAGTTACAAATAAAATTATATAGAAAATTGTAATCAATTAATAAAGTTTAACATTTTATACTAATAACAAATAAACTAATTTTATTAAAAATTATAATCTATTTATCATATTTTCTAAATATATTAAAACTATATAAACAGATATTAAATTATAAATCATATTTTATAATACTTACGGGTAATGTTAAAATTATATATACAGTAAAAGTACATAACATATACGATATTTTTGATAATCTAAATTGTTTTCTTGTAATTCAATAGATGACACTAATGTACTCAATAAAACAACAATAATAATTAATAATTTACCATGTACCATTTAATAATTTAGTATATATTAATATAACTTTTTAAAACTGATTAAAAATATTTTTATTGAATTATTCATAAAAATATAAATGGTCATTCAATAAATATAAATGAAATATTTCAATGATATGTAAATTATCAAAAATATATGTAAAAATAAACTTATAAATACTATTTTAATTAAAAAATATGTTTAATTACTAAATTAAATGTCAAATCAAATAACCGAAAGTTTGTGTAAAACTTGTGTCAATTGGTTTTGATATTCATTAATTTGATGGTAAGTCTTGCAGTGGTCATCGGTGGCAATAAATTGAGTGCAATCTTTAATGGTCTTTAATATGCATTTCTTATCTTCGGCGGACAATTGATTATATTTTGACCAATTGTTGTCTGTTATCCATTTGGCTATCATATCATAAAAAGACAATAAATTGATTTTTATCTCATTATGAATAACATCAGTATTAATTGCTAACTGTACTGACATTAGTCTTTTATTTTCATTATTATTGAAGACTAGCCAACTCTTAGACTCTGGAAGTACTTCTGGAGTAAATGAAAAGTTAAAATCCATTTTCTTTGTCTGCTTAACCAATCCATTAGGTTTGCTATAGTTATCTTTGTTTTGCCAAAACATGGTTGAGTYCAATGTAGACGATGACCACGACATCATCGGTGTCATCATAAATCTTAGATGACTAGTAACTCGCATCTCAATCGGTAGTATTATTTGTTTGGAAAATAGTGCTTCCGGTGCCTGAAATTTAATCGTCCAGATTCCGGGTTCGGCATTCGGCACCCGTACTATGATTCTATTGCCCACACTTTCATACAACTGGCTATTTGTGTCATATCTGTAACCACTGGGTGATTGAATAATAGCCCATATTTTGTGTACCTCTTTGCCAGTGATGATGAACTTGGTTTTGATGCCCACATCCGAGTTGACAATCAATTGTGTGTTCACTTGTCGACAATCAATGGTAAGCAACTGATTATAGATAATCCTTTTTTTCTGATCAATCAATGAGTGTAACACTGGCTTCCGATTGTCATCAGTAATACCGGTGTTGTTGTTGTTATTGTAGTTAGACTTTGAACTCAATGATAGATCTTTGAACAGAGTTTTCAGTGACGGCTGATATCGTTTACGTTTGCGTCGATCGGCCTTTTTATCCGATGATTGTTGTCTTTGTTGTTGATTATCATCCGTAAAGGTAACTAATGTCTGATCCCATATTTGCTTAAACATTACTGAATAATTTAGTGAAATATTTAATTTATAGTATAATTATTAAAATAATATATTAATTATTTGTCCAAAAAACACACAAACAATATAAAAAAATTCTAAATGTTAATAAATTATTATTATTATTATAAATTATCATAATAAAAGAAAATTTTTAATATTTAACATTTTCAGCTGTTTTTTAAAACTAATTTATTCAATATATCTTATATTTATTTGCATTTTTGAAACCTTTTAATTAAACTCTGTATTTAATTTAAAAGATTAGTATCACTATTCTTAATCATTTGAATAAACTTTGATATATATTAATATAGTGACTATATTATAGTCAAACATTGCTATCAATTAATAATCAAATATAACTATTTGTATGACTCTTATCTTATGTTAAAAGTTTAAATATTTTTATCAAATTGATATTTATACTGTACAGTTTAGTTTGCCTATTTAACTCAATAAATATYGAATTTATACAATATTTAACTATTGACTAATTTTGACTCTTATATTACAAATATTATTAATTAAAATTTTATTTTTTCAATGTTTTATTAAAATTAGTTATAATGAATTTAACAAATATAAATTTTGAGACGTGATTTAATTAAAAAGTCATAATATTGTTTTTGTTGTTGTATTATTTAATATTATATTGTTTAAATACAGTAGTATGATCTATGAGTCAACAATTTAAAATGTTTAGATTATTTTTAAAAACTATTATTAAATAATTAAATTTTATTAATTTATTGTATCAAAAAAAWTAACATAATATTTTCTGTTTMATAGTTTTATAAATTATTTCATTTCAATTTGATAATTTTTATTTTAGCATCTTTAAATTTTATTTGTTTAGTTACAAAAATATAATAAATGTATTTTTCTAAATTTTCAGCAATTTATATTTTGTAAATTAACTAATGAATAATAAATTAAATTATTGAAGTAAACATAATAATTAAATTTAATTGAAAAGATTTCATACATTTTATTTTATTTATTATAATATTTATTATTAACATTTTAGACAACATTACAATAATAGTTATTAAACTTAGCTATAATTTTTTTAATGATTTTTCTAGTCATATAAATTGTTTATTAACATTTCTATTGCATATAAAGTAAATGTACAAAAGTATTAGCATTAATAATATACTGTAGTTGTTATTAATTGTTATCATTTTATCGTATAATCAATTTAAATGTTATTAAAACAAGTAACAAATGTTATTGGAAAATAATTATGAGTTTTTTTAAGTAATTATTTTTATAATTTGAATACATATGCAATTTTTCAATGTCAATATATAATTTATAATGAGTCATCCAAATAACAAGTTTATACATATTGAGGAAAAGTGGGATCAATTAAATTTAGATATAATTTATGTTTAATAAATGGATTAGTATTTAGTATTTACAAATTTTTGGGAAAGGGGTTGAAATATAAAATAAATTAAACATAACGTCTTATAGTGACACAAATTTAACGATATTAACTATTAATGTATTTTACTTATAGATTATTTATATTTAACATAATATTATTAAATATAAAAATTGATTTAATAATCAATTTTTATTATGAGTATGTATTGATATTTAATGTTTTTGCTCAGGTACTTTAGTTTTGATTATTGTACTTATAATTTGTAAGATTAACCTATGTCTATTGTTTGTAACAAATAAATTTAATTAAAACAATCGATATATTGATATATTATAACTTATATTAACATTTACATAAAACAGTAGATAAAATAAAATATTAGTTTTATCAATGCTAGCTATTTTTGTTAATTTTATCAATTAAATGTTAGATAATTATTAAAWATATATATTATTATTAAAAAATAGCATTATTGTTTAATGAAGCATTAGTTTATGTTCAGTATATATTAATTAACTAATAACTTAATTATGTAAACTTTTTATTGCTATTCTAGTATAATCATAACAATATTAATTATCATAAAACTATTTTTAAAACACTTTTGATTATTAAAAATTTTTATGTTTTATTTATTTTTGTTGTCATTAAATTTAGATATAAGATATAAGATAGTTTTTTGGTTAGAAAATGCACCTATTTAATAATCAATAATAAGGATTGACTATATCATTAAACATGACATAAACATATTAGTTTAATAGCTTAATTATGCAAAAATAATAATCTAGCAATAAATATTTATATATTAAATTTTATTATAGCTAATTATATGTTAGTGAATTTTTTGTTTGATATTGATTATAACATATATTGAATAATTACTATAAAATCAATAAAGGTTTTTTAAAAACAAAATAGACATAATAGTTAAAATTATAATAAATAATTATCTATTTGTAGACAAACTATAAAAATTATTAAAAAATAATATCAAAATTTACATTTTAGTTAAAATTAAACATAAAAATTAAATAGTATTAACTTTTAAAAAAAAATTTACTAGGTCACTTATAATTGAAATATGTATAACAAATATTTATACAGTATAATAATATATAATAATTAAATAATTTGCAAATTATGATTTAGTATTTTAAAATATTATTTATTAATTATCTTAATTTATAAATTTTAAGTAATCTATTTGAAATCAGATTAAATTTCTCAAATTAATTTCCTAACTTTTTTTTGTAAAAACTCTTTATTGCATAACGCCATTATAAAAATATCCACTTATAATAATTGTATGCTATTTTTAAAACTAAGAGAAAGATTACATGAATTATTAGCTAATTATCTTTTTTGTTTGTTTGTTATTTGAAGTCATTTACAATCCCTGTTTGCATACATTTCCCCCTTTAATCTTCAATTTGAGTTTTATTGATTATAAACAAAATATTTAAATTACTTTTGCCAAATAAAGCAATTTATATAAAATGCATGAATATTATATTGAGCCATTACCACATGACAAACAAACAAAATTTTATGTATTATTAACTAACAAAATCATAAATTAAATAAATAATTAAAAATAAAATGAGTTTTTTTAATAAGATATGAAATTAAGAGATCACTTGTGTTTTTTGTATTATATAACAATAACTAACTATAATATAAATTTATATAAAGAATATTATATAAATTGTAATTTATTGACAATTATCTTATTAATGCAAATTTGATTTTGTTTTTCAAATAGTTATCCTCTTGTAATTACTATAGTCGAAAAAATATTATTAATTTTAAAAATATATAAATTAGTGTTCTTAAAATAAAGTTATGTTTTATTTTAAAATATATTATGAATTATTATTTTTTATTTTGCATAAATCATATTAAAATAAAATATAAAATAAATTTTATTAGCATATTAGTATAATGTTTACTAATAAAAATTACTTATTTAAATAGTGATCGCTAATTTCTAATACATAAATTATTTATATTAGTTTTTTATTTATAATATTTAAAAAAACTAATTAATGTTAATTAACGGGCAAATAAATTAAAATTATATTAAGAGTATAAAACCTAATTTATTTATTGTCTCTGCACTTGATTTTAATTTGTAATTGTAATTTGTAAATGTACTAAAAGTTTTTTAAAAAACAAATATATTAATAATTAAATTATTTTAAAAGTGTATTTGGATAGTTAGTACTTTTTGTAATAAATATTTTTTTATTAAACAATTAATCTGATATTGATATTTTTTAGTAAACAATAAATAATCTTTTTATAAATTAATTTAATAAATATTTTATTATTAAATAAGAATTAAATACTACAATTAAATTTTAAAAAATAATTTAACATTAATAAATTTAATTTTCCTTGTTAAAATTTATGGAAAAAATTTTATGCTTAATTTCAAAATGCACTAAATTAAAAATATTATTATATAAATATTTAATATTTTTAACAAAAATAATAAACTATATATTAAGTTTAACTGTACTTAACAATGACACAAAATGAGACAACAAAATTAACATAGGGATCACATAGACAGAAATTTCCTTTAAAAACTTTATAGAAATTTCTTTATTATTTTACAAATTTTTATTTATTATCAACATTATTTTAACACTATTTTTATTTCAATAATGGATTTTTTCAGTAAAATAATTCTGCAATTAATAATATTTATATATATATATATTAAACAATAAAAAAATTGATATATCATGTTATAGATATGGTTCATAATAATACTATATATATATATTGGTTTTTAATATATCATAATGTTTTCTGTAACAAAAACATAACATTTTAATGAAGTCGCACATTTCAGTTGCAAAAATAAAGTTTTCTGAAAATTTTATGTTTAGTTTAGCCTGGTGAATTTATTGTCAACTAACCCATGTTAAAACTAGTCAATTTACACAGGGGTTTCAAAATAAATAATATACTATCCTGTTTATGTACTGTAATTTATTTATCTCGCAAAAAAACWSTATGTGCTTTTATTAGAATGTAATTTTATAATAAAAATACATTAACATAAACAACACAAAACAAACATAATTAATTAATTAATTATTAGCTAATATATTATACATTTTAAATATTGATAGTTTTAAACTCAAAAACATTAATTCTTTTATTAATTAATTTAAAAAATAATATAATATTTTTATCTTATTTTAAATGCTATAATGAAATTCTCATAATATATCACAGTAAACATTAAAATTATAAATCTTATAATTATTAAATTACTTAAATATAATTTAATTACAGAAAATTAAAATAATATGAATAGTAAAATTATTAAAAACATATTATTTTATGGTAAACATACGCCAAAAATTGTATTTAAAAAAAATAATTACATTTTATTAGTTTTTTAAAAACATTACTTTATGACTAATAAACTTCAATATAAAAAATCTTTAATAATTAGTGCTTTAAAATTCATGTTTGTTATATAAAAACCCATTTATTTTCGCACATAAATTAAAACAATTGGTCAGTTAAGCTTATATTTTTAATTACTTAACCTTGTTTATAAATTTATAAAAAGCTTAAATATCT